AGCAAACTGAAACGGGCCACACACATGTAGCATGTAGGTATCATCTGGCCTTTTCTCTGACCTAATCATCACCTTGCTACTCCTGAACACATGAAGTGTGGCCCATTCTAGGTGCTTAGTACCTCCTTCTGCCTAAAATATCCCTTCCTCTGCTGGTTCCTAACTCCCTCTCCCTTAACCTCATTCTCTCTTCAAACAGGTTCCTCAAAGAGGCTTACCCTAATGGTCCCAACCTAACATAGTTCCTCTCTACAACCACCTTTTCATCTTTCTTCATGGTCCAATCACAGTCTACAGAATTTGTTTATTATCTATCTCCTATCACTAGAATACACACTCACTGGTTAGGGGTGGTGACATCTGTCTTACTTATCACTGTATTATTAGTGCCTAGCACAGGACCCTACAAACAACAAATCAACACTTGCAAAAGGTACACAGGGAGGGAAAGAACAGTGCAACAGAGGGAGGGCAGGTAATTTCCAGATAGGCGGCTCCTCCTAAGGCCCAAGTCTGGCATCTTAGGAAAACACCTGTGAGCTGCGATTGCTAGCAGGTGTCTCCCCATCTGCCACTGTCTTAATAGTCCCTAAAAAACACATAAATAAGTATAGGTCTATGCATCTTTAGGATTTTTTTTTAAAGGAAAAAAGTTACATATGCAAAACTTTGTGTTTTTATACTAAAACAATTTTCAAAAAGGAAAGAACAGTCTTATGAGTTCGTTCTAGGGCCTGCATCTGGTTGGCAAAGAACTTAATAATCAGACACACTTTATATGAAAAGTGAGTCAACTTACATATTTTACAGTTTAGAAATTTTTCTGCTTGCATTTTATATGTGTGTGTGGTGTGTGTGTGTGCTCATATGTATATGCACACTATCTTTTGCATCCATAGAAACTGCTAATACAACTCATATAAAAGAAAACATTTCTATTTTATTACAGTGACTCACCAAAGGATATATTAGATCCACTAATAACACAGGTATCGTAACCTAAGGCTTTGTTTCCTTGTTTGGTAGCTATATAAAAAGGTCTGGTTTATAATGAGGCTCAAGTGGTAAAGTGCTGGCCTCAAAAGCTCAAGGCCAAGTGCAAGCCTCAGTATGGCACAAAAAAAAAGAGAAAAACTGAACATACATATACATATGCTACACAAATATTGCCAAGCAAACATTAAATCACACAGGTTACTGATGCCAAGTTGCTCTGGCTAAGCATCAATAGAAAGACAGACCAAGAAAAACATCTGAACTTCTGCAGTGACAGCTCAAGTACACAGAAGGCAAAAACAAAAGTGACTGTACTCTGAGTCCATCCGTGAATTCTTCCCAGGGACTCTGGCAGAATGAGGCAAAATCCAGCTTAGTCTGATGATGGTGTTACTCCCTTTGTTTCACACAGAAGAAAAGCTGGGAGGCAGGAGCAAGTTCAAACCCTACCACTCACAGCATGAAGCCAAAGCCTGCACTGTTAAAGGGTAGCAATGACCGCAGAAACTGTCACATCATGCGGAAGGATAAAGAAGAGTAAACACCAGAAGCAGTGGGGAGACTTGCTGACAAAAGGTTAAATGATTTTCAAAGCATTTGGTGTTAAACTGTTACTGCTGGGCTCAAGCCTCAGCATTTGGTCAGGAGCACGACTCTTGGCTCACATCCCTGGATACTGCTTCATCTATTAAACTTGAAACTGTCAGTCTTATTAGATACAGACCTCTTAAGACTTCTTTCAACTTAAAGCAGAAACAGCTGAAGTAACAACTATTCTATCACTTTTGTGCAAAAGGTCTGGATTCTAAAAGCCTCTGATTAACAAAGAACCAAATTTTAACACTGGAAGGAAATTTAGGAAGTCAATTCTGACCCAAGTTAGATTTTAAATGAATGCTTTAGCAAATACCCATTAAGAGTATTGGCACCAGTGACTCACATCTATAATCCTAGCTACTTAGGAAGCAGTGATCAGGAAGATCCTGGTTCAAAGCCAGCCCATGCAAATACTTCATGGGACCTTATCTTGAAAAACCTACCACAAAAAAAAAAAAAAAGAGGGTGGTAGAGTGGCTCAAAGTGTAGGCCCTGAGTTCAAACCCCAGTTCACAAAACAAAAAAAAAAGTATTCTACATTGGAGACTCAGTGTAGATTGCTGGCGAGGAGATAAATACGTCTAAGTTATGCCTTCCTTCAAGACTCTTACAGAAGTCCCAAAGAATATAGCCCATGAAACAGGATACTGTACCAAAACAAGAAATCCTCAGAACCAAGAGGAGCAGCAAGACCAACACTGCAGAGAATGCTTCAGTGATGTGTGAGCTGGGCCTGGACCAAGGAGGTGTGGTAATAGCAGGAAGGACTTTTGGGCAGTGAGAATGCAGTGAACACCATGACCTGTAGATCCTAGGTTTCCAACAACCCTTCTTGCCCTGCCAGTCTTCCTGGTGCTCTCCAGGCAGGCATTCTCACCTCAGGGCCTGGGCAGGTGTTCCACCCTCTGCCCAGAACAAGCAAAGCTGGGTTCTCACCTACCCCAGGAGAGAACCTCCCCCAGGTCTGCTCAGGCCTCACCTGCTCAGGGAAAGCTTCCTGGCTATTTTATTCTAAACGGTCATCCTCACACTCCCTAGCACCTTGCCTTGCTTTATCCTGTCCTCAGCTTTTACTCCTACCTGGTACACTATGCAGTCTATTCTTATTAGCAGTGTCTACGCCCCTCCCACAGGAGCCAGGTAGATCTATGTTTGCTCACCTCCAGTGCCTGGTAGGCAGGAAACCAGATCTGCTGACAAACTGACTGATGGAGTAAACCAATGAAAAAGGTACCTGCCCTCAAACTGGTTAAACCTAATGGAAGATCCAAATACAGAGATAACCTGAAATTAATCCTGAAAGACAAAAATAGATACAAAGCTTGAGAGCTCTGTTTTATAAAGAAACACCTGGTGCCCCACTTCTGCACAGCCAGTTAAGGGTATCTTTTTATACTACACGTCCTATCTCCACATCCCAGCATCACTGTCACTCATGCAATGGCCAAAAAGGCCACTGCTACCCAAGTTACTCTTCCCACATTCACCTCCAGAGCAACCTACTGACTGCAGAGGAAGGGTATTTCTGTCCCCACTGTGGACAAGAGAAAGACGTCTGTCTAGATTTCCAAATTAAATTCCTATTTCCACAGACATTCAAATTCTACACTACAGGATGGGATACCCTGTTTAATTACAAAATTTAAATATGAAAAAAATAAATCTTTGAATTTTATTACAGTTCTGGAATGTAATTTTTCTACAACTGGATGGCACTAATAAAATGCCTACGAGAAAGATTTTTTTAAAAGGCTATGACCTATTTTAAGCAAATAGGTAACAATGAAAGTTAATGGCATTTTTTTCACTTAGAAGATCAAATCAAATTTTAGTCTGGATTAAAGAATGATATTGAATTTTTAAACAGCATCAGTATTTCTGTTTCTAAATCTACATGGTTTCTAAATCCACATGGTATTAATGGAAAATATTCATCACTAGCAAAAGCAAAAAGAACTCAAGGAAATAGAGAATAGATTAAAGATTTCTCACTTCAACCAACACCTCCATAGACTGCACTGTCGTTTCAGACAAGCTGACATTTCCACATTTAATTTTTAATGGCACCAATGATTTCCATCCGGGGCTATCTGCGTAAAAGTGTTAGTCTTGGCATGGTTTTAATACTGAACTGTAATTCATTTCTGGCTATAAGAAAAGTGCACCAACCCAATAGTCACACGTCACACTCATCCCATCACTGAAAGCCCACTGTTATGTCTTACAATACTGGTGAATTTGCCCGGACACACAATCATGTAAGTCTACAGCCTTTTCTCAATCATTTATAAATTACTTCTACTACTTTAATGCCACCTGATTTTAGCAGAATTAAACAATATTCAGTTCTAAGAGAGTTGTTTTTTTGTTTTTGTTTTTTGGTGCTGGTGTTGGAGCTCAGTACCTACACCTTGAGCCACTCCACCAGTCCTTTTTTTGTGAAGGGTTTTTCGACATAGGGTCTTGTGAACTATTTGCCAGGGTTGGCTTTGAACCCCAATCCTCCTGATCTCTCTCTCCTGAGTAGCTAGAATTACAGGAATGAGGCACCGGTGCCAAGCTACAGAGTTTTGTTTTGTTTTGTTTTTTAATCCTGCCCTTTTTATAAACAGAAAAAAAATGACAAAAGGGGGACAAATTCCCTGAGGTTAAAAAAAAAAAAAAGCCAAACCAGAGCTTTCAAGTAGAGAATGGTAGTTCTCAGCGGCCCACCACGAAGGTGACCAGTGAAGTTCAAATGCTGTGAACACAGTCACAACAGAAGGTGGACGGCTGGACAAGACTGTGAGGTCCTCACCTAGTTCCTTCCTCAACCCGGAGGCACCTGCAAGTGGCCCAAGCGGAACCCGCACGGACCGCGCGGCTGGCAAGCGCAGGAAGCCCAGTCCCCGCGCGCGAGGACCGCGCGACCACGGCAGCCCATCTGTCCCCACGACTGGACAAGAGTCCACCTGGACAGGCCGGGGAGGGGGCTGCGAGAAGCGGGAGGTCGGCGGGCTTCCGGTTCCCGGGACAACCGGAGCCGCGGGCGCAGGAAAGGAACGGAACCGCTTTGCGCTTGGGGCGCGGAGCTGCAAGGACGCGGGTGGGCAGCGGCCGCTAGACCGCCGAGGCCTCGCCGCGCAGCCCCGGGCGGAGGCTGCACCGAGCGGAGGCTGAACCGGGCGGAGGTTGTGCCCGGGGCGGAGGCTGTGCACCCGGTGGAAGCTGAGCCTGGCAGCAAGGCGGGAAGTGGGCACGGTGCTCACACCCACACCTCGAGGCTGACAGCCCAGCCCCGGAGCGCGAGGCGCCCGGAGGGGGTCGCGGGGAGAAAACCGCGCTGGGCGCTGCCCGTTGTCAACGCCTGTTCCCCCAACCCCACCCCACCCCCACCTCGCCGGAACAGGCAGCCGTTGGATCCTTACGTAGGGCTGGTAGAACTTGGAGAGCCGCGGCTTCCCGTGGTTGTTGAAGATGAGGATGGCCTTGATCATGGCTGGGCCGGGCCGACCGGGTGGGCGCTGGCGGCCAGGGCGGGGGCGGGCGCGCGAGCCTCGCCTCAGGATCTTGCCGGTAATTCTTCCCCACCCGCCCCCTCCCGCACGCGCGCGCGCGCGCTCCCGAGCCGTGGGGCGTGGCCTGAGGGGCGGGCACTGAGGGGCGGGGCAGGTGCGAAGGGAAGCGGAAACATTTCCAGGGCCGAGCCCACTTGCCCAAGGGATGTCTGCCCCCTCGGCGGCTCCCCGAGACTTGCCCACAGACGCTTCCCGAAGCTTCTTGCAAGGGGAAGACACTCATTGCCATATGAACAGTGAAAAGTCCCAGACAGGCTAGCTACGAAGAACTATCTGGCAATCTCAAGGTCCATTGTTGGGTTGGATTCCCCTATAGTGGCGTCTCCTTTGCAACTCTCCGTAGAGCAAAACCCGCCCCCTGACGCGCTCAGCTTCCACTTCCGCCCTTACTTCCTACGGCGCAAGATGGCGGAGGAGCCGGGACCTGTGTTGCAGCTCCCTCCTGCAACTGCTGCGGCTGGCGGGGAAGGACTTACGGAGATCTCCCCAGAAACAGCGACTCCAGAGCCGCCCTCTTCTGCTGCAGTCTCGCCGGGAACAGAGGAACCTGCCGGTGACACCAAGAAAAAAAGTAATTTTGAGTGTAGTTTCTGGGCGGAGGGGCGGGAGGTTAGCTGCGTCTCTCTGGGCGGCGGCCAATCAGGATGCAGTATTTAGAGGAGGGCGTGGCCCAGACGTACGTCAATCTCCAGTCGAGAGAGAAGAAGTGCGTGGGCTCTTCAGTTTGAAGCCCCCCCTGCACCGCGGTCAGTGCGCGTGGTGGTGCGGGATGTGCTTGGTTCGCAGGTGCCTTGGCTATCCGCACCTTTTGCGGTGTCTTCAAGACTTTGAGTTGGACTTACTTCCAGCCCTCCGAAGGCGGGAGCTGACAGGTCTTAACGCAGGAGCAGGTTATTTTAGTAATTCAGGTACTAGGTAGGGATGGTCAGTGGCAAAGCAGTTCCCACGTTCTGATAATTTGCTGGGTTTTCCCCTTTTCAATTGAATGAGTTATTTGAATTATTAAAAAAAAAAACTGGAATTTTTGCCAAGCGCCAGTGGCTCATGCCTGTAATCCTAGCTATTTGCAAGGCTGAGATCGGGAGGATCGAGGTTCGAGGACAGCCCAGGCAAATAGTTCGCGAGACCCGATCTCAAAAATAACCAGAGCAAAGTGGATTGGAGGTGTGGCTCAAGTGGTAGAGCACTTACTTTGCAAATGCGAAGCCCCTGACTTCAAACCTCAGTCCCGCCAAAAAAAAAATAATAATACTGGCCTTTTACCCAATATGAAGAGTGCGCAGGAAAAGCTGAGGGCGTAGGCACTACTTTTTTTTTTTTTTTAATCTTTTGTAAGCGGCTTATCGCACTGCTTGAACTAGCAGTGTTAACCTTTATAGCTGGAGACTTGGTTCGCCCCGGGAATTGAAGAAATTCTTGTGGTTCCTAATCCTGAGCACTGGGTAGAGTGTTTAACTTGTCTTGAGTCGCAGAGGCCTCCATTTCCTTAGGCATGGTTTCTCATTCGGTGAAATGCCCGGAGTCCCACGAGCATCCCTGGAACTTGTTTCTGGTGCCCTGGAGGACAGTCGCCTCCCCAGCACTGCTCCGTCCTCCTTTTAAGTGGGACTCCTTGGGGTTGGTGCCTGGGCAGTTCCCTGGGGTTGGATCTCCAGCAAGGCAAAGAAGAAATTTGAGACTGCCTTGACATTTGGGGAGAACCCCTGCCATTTCAACGTGATGTAAGCTTTCTTCTAAAGATTCCCATGAGTTTTACAGACTTTTGCTGGATTTTTTTTCCTTTCAGTTTATCATAAACAGGAGCTGACAAAGGATTTTTTTAAGGTCTAACAAACTTAAAGTTTAATACTTGACCCTGATGATAGCTGTGTGAAAGAGGATTAAAAACAATGGCCTTCCTTCAAGAGACCGTTTCATAGTTTTGGATTCACTTACCTGTATTTTGGGTCATTGTGATTTCTCTCTCACTAAAACTTCCTTTTGGCCCCTAGTTGTATTTTCTTTTTTTAAAAGACTGTTTTCCTTTGTTTAGAAGTTTAATATAGGGCTGTCAGAGTGGCTCAGGTGGTAGAGTGCCTGCCTAGGAAACGTGTATCCCTGAGTTCAAACCGCAGTACCACAAAAGAAAAAAAGGTTAGTATAGGAAGTTTGGGAGCTGAAGGTATGGCTCAAGTGATTCAAGGCCCAGAGTTCAAACCCTAGTACTGCCAAAACAGAGAGAGAGAGAAATAAGAGCTACAAAAAGCATAACTGAAGAGAACACCCACAGAGTGGGAGAAAATATTTGCCAATTATACATCAAAGGACTGATAACCAGAATATACAGGGAACTTAAAAAACTAAATTCTCCCAAAACTAATGAACCAATAAAGAAATGGGCATGTGAACTAAACAGAACTTTCTCAAAAGAAGAAATTCACATGGCCAAAAAACACATGAAAAAATGCTCACCATCTCTAGCAATAAAGGAAATGCAAATTAAAACCACACTAAGATTCCACCTCACCCCTGTTAGAATAGCCATCATCAGCAACACCACCAACAACAGGTGTTGGCGAGGATGCGGGGAAAAAGGAACCCTCTTACACTGTTGGTGGGAATGTAAACTAGTACAACCACTCTGGAAAAAAATTTGGAGGCTACTTAAAAAGCTGGACATCGATCTACCATTTGATCCAGCAATACCACTCTTGGGGATATACCCAAAAGACTGTTACTCCAGAGGCACCTGCACATCCATGTTTATTGCGGCACTATTCACAATAGCCAAGTTATGGAAACAGCCAAGATGCCCCACCACTGACGAATGGATTAAGAAAATGTGGTATCTATACACAATGGAATTTTATGCAGCCATGAAGAAGAACGAAATGTTATCATTCGCTGGTAAATGGATGGAATTGGAGAACATCATTCTGAGTGAGGTTAGCCTGGCCCAAAAGACCAAAAATCGTATGTTCTCCCTCATATGTGGACATTAGATCAAGGGCAAACACAACAAGGGGATTGGACTATGAGCACATGATAAAAGCGAGAGCACACAAGGGAGGGGTGAGGATAGGTAAGACACCTAAAAAACTAGCTAGCATTTGTTGCCCTTAACGCAGAGAAACTAAAGCAGATACCTTAAAGCAACTGAGGCCAATAGGAAAAGGGGACCAGGAACTAGAGAAAAGGTTAGATCAAAAAGAATTAACCTAGAAGGTAACACCCACGCACAGGAAATCAATGTGAGTCAATGCCCTGTATAGCTATCCTTATCTCAACCAGCAAAACCCCTTGTTCCTTCCTATTATTGCTTATACTCTCTCTACAACAAAATTAGAGATAAGGGCAAAATAGTTTCTGCTGGGTATTGGAGGGGGGGAGCGGGAGGGGGTGGAGTGGGTGGTAAGGGAGGGGGTGGGGGCAGGGGGGAGAAATGAACCAAGCCTTGTATGCACATATGAATAATAAAAGAAAAATGAAAAAAATAAAATAAAGGTGACTCAACTAAAATAAATAAATAAATAAATAATTCCATATAAGGTCACTTGTGAGAAGTAACATTTTGCTACATATTCTGTGTTTATGTGAATATCTGTTTGTGATGCTGTTCTGCTAAGTACACTTTCAGAATGTGGTTTTTTTTTGCTACTTAATCTTAAGGCTCAATGAGTTACAGTTCTGTGCCGGATACAGTTCAGGGCACAAGTTAACTCATACCTAGCAAGCGACAGAACCAGGATTTAAACCCACTTTAGAGTATATGTTCTTTATAAGTTCTGTCATAGAGCACACCACCTTATATTTAACCCATTCCCTCTAGTTCCCTCTAAATAGCCATTATTACATTGGACACTTCAGGTTTTCCATTTTTTTCCTATAAAAATAAGTGCTTCAATGAAGGTGAAATCCTAAGTGAATCTTTACACATCTCATGTTCTTAGATTCCTAGAAGTGTTGTTGAGTCAAAGTGTATCTTCCAGTGTTGGATATGTGTTACCATGCTTTCCAGAAACAGTGTAACACGTTACATTCTGAGCAATACTATCATCTACCCTGTTCTAATGTTACTAGTTTGGCAGGTGAGTTAAGGCATGAGATAATTTTACTTTGCTGGTTTTGGAAGTTTAAATATTGTTTTATATCTTCATGTATCATTTCTGGTTCTTCTCTTTGGGACTACCTACTATGTCAAAATGTGTTTTGAAGATTAGTCCCACAGGAACAACATTGTAGAATAAAGGAAAATAGTAATGAAAAAGAAATTAATATTTTTACATATCTGACATAGTTTCAGAATCATAAATACATAAAATGGATGTAGAGTAAATATTTCTAAAGCATTTATATCACATTCTCATTAAATACTTCAGAATAATTGTCAGTAATTTTTTTCTTTTACAGTTGACATCCTGCTAAAGGCTGTGGGTGACACCCCTATAATGAAAACGAAGAAGTGGGCTGTAGAGCGAACCCGAACCATCCAAGGACTCATTGACTTCATCAAAAAGTTCCTTAAACTCATGGCCTCGGAACAATTGGTATGAAACCAGTAGTGACTTCTTGGCTACAGGAATGAACAGTAATGCCTGCGCAAGAATGAATAACATACATGTAGAAATACATACATATGGAACCATATGTTACTTTCATTATGCCTTTACTTTTTTGCAGATGAGATTAATATACTTTATTGGAGGAGTTTTTGGGGACTTGAAATGAATTTGAAATTTGCTTTACAATGTGATCTAATTTTTATTTGGTGTTTTGTTTTCCTCAGAAAATTCACTGAATAGTTTTGTAGACAAATCTATCCTAGGACAGTGTTCTCTGTGCATTAGTGAAGAAGTTGGGGTTAATTGGTTCTGGTTCCAGCATTACTTTTGTCCCATTCCTCTTAAGGTGGTAGTTACCTTTGTGTCATACATGGCCCCTCGTTGACTAAATGTCACTGTGTGGCACATGGCTGTGCTTGGCATTTTAAGTGTCAGGTACCTTTTACCAGCTGTGGATCACAATCTTGGATAGTACCAGTATAGGTAGGTTGGGGAGGGTGTGACTTAGAAAGAAAATTAGGTTATCATGTCAACAGAGGAAAGCTACCAAGGAAATAAAGTCTGAGATAAGGATCTTAAATTCTACAAAACTGACTGTAATCAGGGCACACTATTAGCAAAGCACAGAATCTTAGGAAATTTCATTCCCATGAACTCTTCATGGGGAATCAACTAGAGAAAGACTTTAACAACCAAAACAGCTAGAGAGACAACAGGATAAAGACCGATGGTTTAGAAGCAAAGTCCTTATTCATTAAAACTAAAATCATTTTATCTGCCCAAGTTACTGCAGTTTGGAGATGATAAACCAGGGTAACTCATTTTCACGATGGGATCAGTGCATCTCTCTGGCACATAGGCACATGTATTCATGGCTATGCTCTTAAACTGACTGAATTGCTTTTTAATAGTAATCACTTTCTGTTGCTAACTTCTTTTTTTATTATTTTTTATTCATTTATTCACATGTGCATACATTGGGCCATTTCTCCCCCGTTGCTAATTTCTGTTGGTTGTCCATCTACTCTGCCACATGCACACATTGTCTTTGTCTCCTTTGCCTACACATCCTAATTACTACTCTTGATAGGTTAAATCCTGATTATTCCTCAGATACCTTTTCCAGGAAGCTTTCCTGGCTTTCTTGCTAGTTTATACTAATGCCACATCTCTGTGTGCTATGTATCTTGTTCAGTGCACTTTCCTTGACTGAATTCTTATCTATTGTTGTATCAGCCTCACCCACGGATTATAAACCGTTGAGGGAGAAGTCAAGTTAATCCTCATAGCTTCACAGGATGTGCAGACTTTAGTCCATCAGAGATACTCAGGAATATTTTTTGAAATAAATTAAAAGGTCATCATAGGCCCTTCCCCTAATTTAATTTATTGATTTATTGGTGCTGGGATTGAACCCAGAGCTTCCCACATGCTAAGCAAATACTCTACCAATGAGCTACCAGACCCTTTCCCCTAATTTAAAACACACTGAAACAGTAAAGTTGTTTTCACTCAAAATTCATATGCCAGAAGCTAAGTGGAAATTCATATTTAGGCACCCTGCTTTCGACTTGATACTTAAGCATAAGCTGTCTTAAAAGAATTTAACAATAGTAGCATCTGTTGAGTCCATATACAGGTACTGTTCTTTTGGTGTATCATCTCATTCCATCTTTCCATCTGGACCATCAAGAGGTACAGATAGTGTTATTTAATTGCCGTACTTAATGCCTAAGGGGACAATGTAGCTGATTACAGTTGGTGACCAAAATATGTCTGAACCAGCTATTCTCATACTACTTAAAAAAAAAGAGCGTGAAGACAGTTAAGCTCAGGACATTTTAGTCTCAGAATTTGAGTGTAGATATTAAAAGGAAAATTGAATCTGTTACCTGTAAATAATGTTTTGTTTTCTAAAAAGAACATTAAAAGTCTGTCAGACATTGTGGCCTTTTGCTTCAATATCTGTAGGAATTTTTTTAAGCCCTAGAAATATTTTAATAAAAATGAATTAAACCGAAACCTTGGACAATTAATCTTTAAAGAAAAAAAGTTGTGAGAGTATTTGATTTCAATTATGGTACCTTTTTTCCTTCTTTTTTATTTGCTTGTAAGTGATTATTATAGCACCCAGCCTGAAATTCATCACCTTTGGACATTTTCAGAGGTGATAAAGGTTTAAAAAAAACTAACCAGGTATGCCATACACTTATTCCAGAAAAATGCCCAAACAGTCTTAAATCATTTATTGATTTTTGACTGTGCTTGGGAAATTGTTAGAAGAAATTCTGTCTTTATGGTTAAATGATAATTATTTAATATGAATAATTTTTTTCAATAACCCTTCAAAAACTATTTGTGAAAGTTATTTTAAAGTTTCTTAGTTAAAAAAAATGTTGAGCCACTGTTATGGGAATGAAACTTATCTTTTGTTTTTTGGAAAAAAGATGTGATCCTCACAAAGATCTCTACACTGGTGAATTGGGGAGCTTTCTTTAGTCTGAAGATAGCGCTTACAGTAGCTGAATTGGAACTTTAAAAAATGTCGGTTAATCAGGATACCACTAAAAATGTATCTGTTTGTTCATTCTTATAGTTCATTTATGTGAATCAGTCCTTTGCTCCTTCCCCAGACCAGGAGGTTGGAACCCTCTATGAGGTAAAATATCATTGCTTGCTTTTGTCGTTGTGGTGTGGTACTTCTGAACAGCATGCATACCATGGTGTGTAGTATGCATACTGTTATAACATCAAAGTCATGGTTTTTGCTTATGTTCTAAGAAAGGAAGGTTTCTCTTATTGTTGTTTCATCTACATTGTTCTTATCATCTGTAATCCAGATCCTGCTGCAAGAAATTGAAAAAAAGAAAAAGTACGTAAGAACAACTTCATTCAACATTCTTGCAGTTTCATGGCAAGAGTCATTAGTGTATACAGAGTAGCACTTCCAGAGAACAGCTGAAATACATCCAGAGCAGACAGAGGTGTAGAGGGGCAAGGTTAAAATGTTTAAGCCCATTCATACCTGAGATGTTCTACTTTTTATTAAATACTTATGATTATTGATACATGTCTGAAAGAAGTAGCCTTGTCACAAAGGTAGTAATCTGCGTGAACATATGCAGATGTTTATGGTACATACAGCTTTTTTTCTCAGTTTAATCTAAAAATAATAAAAACTACCTAGTTACTCAGGAGGCAGAGATCAGGAGGATCGCAGTTTGAAGCCAGCCCCAGCCACATAGCTCTTGAGATCCTATTGCACAAAAACAAAAAGAGCTGGTAGAGTGACTTAAGTGGTAACGTGCCTGCCTAGCAAATGTGAGGCTCTGAGTTGAAACCTCAGTGCCACCAAAAAAAACAAAAATTGAGTTTAATTTAGTGTCTTACTTTTTCGTTGCAGTGTTTTGGCAGTGATGGTAAACTGGTTCTACATTACTGCAAATCTCAGGCCTGGGGGTGAACACAGAAAAACAACTTGCTACAACTGTGACATAACTGTTGACAGAGGAAATGGCTCTGAACAGACTTTAATGGATAAGAACTACTGGGCATGAAGACTCCTGGTTCTGCCCAAGGAGACATCTACAGACTGAAGAGACTCACAGAAATGGGACTTGTACCAATTCACAAATCATGGAAAGGCTGGCATGGGAGTGTGTCCTTGCACCTACCCATTAACTGCTGCTGTTTAAGATCTGCCTCTAAGGTTAAAGGAAGCTGAAATACATGAATGTATTACCCATTTTCAAAATGACTGAAATTATTTACTTGTAGAATTGGCACTCCACTGATGGTATTCATGCTAAAAGTTAATTTACTAACGTGTTTTTGCTGTGGGTGGGGGGGACGAGGGGAGGGCTATGGGGGCATCTTTAGCTTATTCCTGGGAACTTCACTTCTTTGGGGATATGGGATGTTTACATTGTATCCCGTGTTACTTTGTAAAACCAAGTTGCTTTGGCCTAGTGGTTAAATACTCCCACAGTCCAGTAGAGGGCAGCCAGGCTGGCAGTAAGGCTTTGGCAGATTGGTTTTACATCTTTGCCAGGTGATAATAGGAGAGAAGGCTGTTTCTGCTCATTTCTAACTAAAATGTGATCAGGAGAACAGGCATGTTGACAAAAAAGCACTTTTAGAGAATTTACATTGAATTATGTTGGGGAACAAGTCATTTCACAATTTTAGACAAATGAGTCATACAGTTGTCAAGTCCTATCACTTAAGATCCTTGCGCCCCAGTACAGCATGACTCATTTATACTTTGTCACAAAAACTTGCTGAGGAACAGCAGCATTGTTTCATAGTGTGTTTTCCAAATTGAAGACACTCAAAGAATGAAAAATAGCCTCAGATTTTCTGTGTATTTTGTGTCGTGACTAAAAGTGACTTTTTACTGAAGTTAGGGGTCATTGCTTAAAGTGACATTTAACTTTTTTTTTCTTCTATATTATATTTGTTATGCCATATTTTTAAAAAGCATTTAGTAGGAGCCAAGTATTATAGTGCATACCTCCCAACACTTGGGAGGCTGAGACAGTAGGATTGTGAGTTCAAGGTCAGCCTGGGCTACGTAGCAAGACCTTGTCTCAAAAGACAAAAATCATTCCAATAAGTTGGATGGAATTTCCAAGCAGGATAAGGTGTGTACTAGAATTCCAAGTATTTATTTGTAAAGGTGTAGTATGATTTTATCAGAGGACACGGACTGCACTTACGTCTATTTTTTTTTTTTTAACCCCTACACTTACTTCTCTTCAGTCCTGGAGTGTGCTTTATGCCTGTGTTCAGTGTGTGTCAGCTGAATTATATTACTAAATAATAATTCACTTTATAGTGATGAAATCGCTCTTCTGTTCTCATTTTCTGCCCAAGAATGTGGATTCTTGATTTTCCCTTCCATCAGTGCCCCTTTGCAATAAATTAATCAGCTAGTAGTTAACAGTGGACTAATACTGACAGATTGAATTGTAAAAAAATCATTACAAAAGAAAGTTGTATATATGTTATAAGCTGGAAAGTGAATTTCCAGGTCATATAGGTTGGATATGGAAAAAAATCTGTTCCCTGGTTTTGTCCACATACAGTTTACTGAAGGAAGGAATATATTCTTAGATATTTAATAGATAGCCAAAATATGCTGAATTTATGTTTGCTGCTGTTTCAGATAATAGAATATTTATTACCTCAACACAAAAATATTTGAATTTGTAACATAAAATTATTCTTTTTGACCCAAATAACTTACCAGCTTATTAAATCCAAGGTTAACTAAATATGTTTACCTTACTTGTTTTCTTTGCTAGTGATCCTAAAGAATATGTAGGGCTTTATACTTGTTCAAGCCGTGCTTGCAATGTCTCTTCATCATTACCCAATTAATCCTTCTGTACCATTTACTGTAAACCTGAAGTTCCTAAGTTATTGGGTGACTGGAACCTAAAACACTTTGCTGACAAATAGTTTTGTAAAATTTTGCAACTTAAACTGTCTTAGGTGTAATTGAACTTGGGAAGAAAAAAACAGCCTTCAGTACAAACCTTAAATTTTCCATGTGTGTGAGGGCCGAGAGAAGTCATCCTTTATCTTACTGTGCATTGATGACCCATAGCGCACACAGTATATGCCATGTTAAAATATTGTGCTCTTTAAGTATTTATGCAAGGATTTCATAATGGACTCCCCATATTTAGAGCATAAGGTAAGTTAAGAGTGTTTTATCTAGAATCAAAATAAGATTGGGTACTTCCTGGAATCTGATTTCTAGAAGTTTTAACCCTAAAGGGATCATAAATGTTATGGTGTCAGATAAGAAAACTAAAAAGTGCATGATGTGCCTAGATAATATAATATCAGTCAACCGGTTTGCTGGTGTATAACCCAAAGCAGGAAGGAAAGCATTCAACGTTGGAGGAAGGTGAAATGGAAATGGGCTCTCATGCACCTCTGCCTCATCTTCCAAGGATTATAACATGCTGGGCACTGAGGAACCAAGCTATGAACTACATAGTGATAGGGGAACTACTCAGAAAGCTTCAGCAGGACTTGACCGCAGAAATGGAGATATCTGGGCATAGTGAGAGAATTTTTGTTTTGTTTTGTTTTTGATGAGGTTTAAACTCAGGGCCTGCACCTTTGCTAAGCAGGCACTCTACTTCTTGAGCCACTCCGCCAGCCCCCAAGCTTGTTCCAGAGAAGCAATGTTTTTGCTCAGAAAATTTCCTCCCTTAGTGTGATGTATCTGTTCTTATCTTACAGGACCATAGCTTCTCTGCCTGTTGTTTCTTTGAAGCAAAATACTGTATTTTAATCCCCACCCCACCCTTAATTAGGGATTGAACCCAAGGCCTTGTGCTTTGCTAAGCGGGTGCTGTACCACTTGGGCCAGCTCCCAGCCCTATGTATTTTTACCAAACCTTTCATAACAATCAGATCTGTAATTAGAAGGGGGAATCCCATCATGTCATGGGGATCAAAATGAATTAACTCTGAGAAGGCTCATATGTACACATAATATGTGAGAACAAGCATGCTAGGTTCTATCAGCAAAGCTCTTGGGACATCATTTTCCTTCAGAATGGATTTTGAAGAATCTTTAGCAAATAGGATGAAATATAATATTAGAATAAATTTACCAAATGAGTGCATTTTCCAGAGACTATTTTAACACTTTCTTGGTTAATGACAATTGGCCAACTGTAAAGTAAGTAATGTTAAAAATTGTTTACTCTGGGTACCAGTGACTCACACCTGTAATCCTAGCTACTCAGGAGGCAGAGATCAGGAGGATCGAGGTCCAAAGCCTGCCAGAGCAAATAGTTCACAAGACCCTATCGAAAAACCCTTCACAAAAATAGGGCTGGTGGAGTGGCTCAAGGTGAAGGCCCTGAGTTCAAGTCCCAGTACCACAAAAAAAATTGTTTAAAGAACAAGAATGCTAGGGTGCATGCATCTTATATGACTCAACTCCTTAACTATGTTCCCTAGGAAGGTCTTAGAAATTTCTCTTCACCAAGGATTTAAGGTCTAAGGAGGAAAATGCCAGAGTCTTTATAAAGTCATTTTTTTTATTGTTAATACATTTATTCTTATGTGTATACATTGGGCTGCTTCTCCCCCCTTCCCTGTCCCCACCCCCCCTCCCCATGTAAAGTCTTTACCAACTTATTTCCCATGGTGAACAGTGCTGGTGGGAGGTGTTCAAACTGAAATTGGCATCATTGTGGCTTCCAACGGAGATGCAATATTCCTAAATAGGAGAAGCCAGGTTATTACATCTCAGTGGGAGAGAAGATGTGTTTACTGGAGTGTACATTCATCCCATTATGCCAATTGAAATGAGCTACAGAGAGACCTGTGACTGATTGATCATGACATTGTTAAGAAACAAACGAATGGGTACTCATTTGCTGAGAATTTGATTGGTATGAGGAAAGGAGAGAAAAAAAGTATCCTCAGTCTGTCAGTCAGAGGACTGGATTGAGTTACCACAATAGAGAGCAGAGAGTACTAGTCTCCCATAATCCAAGACTAGGCCCATTGCCTAGGCTTTGTGCCCCGGGGTCCAGCAATGGCACCACAAGTGTACACTGAATCTTTCCCCTATTCTTCCTCAAAGGCAGCTGTTTACTCAGGTAATTGCACTGGAGAAAGAAATATTCTAGAAACCTGGGTTGTTATGCCAGGGGGCATTTACTCTGAGGTAAAACTAATTTCTAAAGATCCAAAACAGCCTCACTGTTAAAGCTCAGGCAAATGAGTTATTTCTCTTTTAAAAATTCTAAAATAGGACTGCAGGCATGGTTCAAAGGGTAAAGTGCCTGCCTAGCAAGCATGAGGCCCTATGTTCAAACCCCAGCCACCACCAAAAGATTTAAAAAAAAGAAAGAAAACTACAGGCCAGTAAAAATTCTAAAATAGATTTGGGAGACCGTACTATAATGAGTTCTTCTGAGTGTATAGTTATATGCTGAAAAATGACAAAAAAATTTTAGTGACCACCTTGACCTATGAAATGAAGTTTGCCATAGTAGAGAAAGGTCAAGGGAGAAGCTCTAGAGAGTCTCCTTTCAATGAAGAAAACATAAGGTAACTTCAGGGTGCCCCTGAACACCCAGGTTCAAATTCCTTTGTCCTCCCAATATGCACTTCATCTTCATATCTTAAGTTTGTACCAAGGGGATCATTTATGCTACACTGTCTCATAGCCAAAACTGGCTGTGTAAGCAGGTAAATCAGAGTGTAGACCACCTCATACAGAGTACATTCAGGGGAGTTTCAGACTTTAAACATGTGGTATGGTTTGAATATGGATTGTGCCCTCCACAATTCATGTTGAAATATGATCGACACAGTGGCATGTTGGGGGTGGGGCCTTTAAGAGATGTTGAAGTTATTTAAAAGGATTAGTGTCTGTCTTGCTGGACTGGATTAGTTACTGCTAGAGTGGGTTGTTACACAGTACAGCTGCCCCTTGTGTGTTCTCTGCATGTTCCCACCTGCCCTTCTGTGCTACATCTTTCTGATGTAGCACAAGGTCCTCACTAGATGTGGCTGTCTAATCTTGGACTTCCAGCTCCTAGAACCATGAGCTAAATAAACTTTTTTCCTTATAAACCAAAAAAGAAAGAAAACTTTGGCAGGTTGTCTTACAATTACTTTTTCCTTATGGCATTTTGCAGTCCAAACTGGATTACTCACTGTTCACTCAGTTTACCTTACAGTCTTTGTTTCCTATGCCTGATTGTATAATTCACTTACAATTTCACCCTAACTCTCCTGCAAGGCCTAATTCAGATTTTAATTCTTCCTTAATGTTTACC